GCACTGTCCTCCCATTGTTCATCGATTTGCTCTAGCGGGCCCAGTAACATCTCCATTGTGAGACTTGTTATGACTGTGTTTGGCATTTCGAATACGTCACGGGGAGCTTGCCAGGCTTTGCCGTGTGGGTGAGACACTCTCAGTAGCTTGCTGGGTTCTCCGAGAGGGGTGGAGGAATTGAACCCGTGACAAATACTGAGAAAATGTGAGACAATAGTAAATGTATTTATTGCTTAAAATTTTTAAATTTTCTAGTGTGAACACCTGCTGGTTATATAATAAAAAGTTAAAACTTCCCTTAACTTCTACCATAATTTAAATTTATTAAAATATTTTGGGGTGTATATTTTGGGGAAATGTTTAATACATGGAAAACTTGAATGCTTTGTATTGCATATCATTTACTTCAGAGGCAGGAAGAAATTCTATCATGTTGACTAAAGGACAACATTCTATAAATAGACTTCTCTTTTCTTATTTAATATGTGCTGGAGTGATAGCACAGAGTGTAGGGCATTTGCCTTGTACGCGGCTGACCCGGGTTCAATTCCTCCGCCCCTCTCGGGGAGCCTGGTAAGCTACCGAGAGTATCCCGCCCACACGGCAGAGCCTGGCAAGCTCCCAGTGGCATATTTGATATGCCCAAAACAGTAAAAACAAGTCTCACAATGGAGACGTTACTGGTGCCCACTCCAGCAAATTGATGAACAATAGGAGGACAGTGCTACAGTACTGTTCTCTAAGAAGAGCAGAGGAATTGAACCCTGGTCGGTGGGGTTAGCCACATGCAAGGCAAACGCCCTACCAGTGTGCTATCGCTCCAGCCTAGTAACATGTATTTAAAAAAAGCATTAATGGTCAAGGAACAAGTTATACAGGATTAAAATATCAGACCTGCTTATTTACAACTGCCTACATACGTGCCCAATATTCAGTAAAATATGACAAGGCATCAAATATATACAGCAGGCTGTCTTATTACTCTAGATGCTACTGTCTTGCAGAAATAAAGTGATCCTGATGAAAGTAAGGAGTGGTCAATAGAAAAAGTATCAAAAATTATTATAGTGAATGCATTGATCAAAGAAGTCATTGATCGAAACAGCTAGAATTTTTCTAAAATTAAATTCTGGAGCAAGCAGGGAAGTAATGAGAACTTAATAACCCTCCAACTGAACCTGAAAAATTGGATCTCTTTTCTTTAAATACACATTAATCTGTTCGATGATAAATTCTTTAACTGTTAATACCTACCTCATCTACCTGTATTAGTAAAATATGTATTGAATTTGAGACACAATATTTTAGATTATTTAGTTTATTTTTGAAATAACATTTTATTAAAAAGAAACAAAGGGAGTTTCTAAAAAAAACATTGAACACATTTCCTTAATTAAAAATTATTGCTAAAACTGTTTTTAGAAGATAGCCTCACAGTTCTCATCAGCTATGTCACTTCACGTTCAGAAACATCTATTTCTTAATTATTATTTGATTAAAGCAATTATAGCGCCTTAAAATCAAACCTGGGCCTGAGAGATTTGCATGTGTTCAACCTAGTTTTGATCTCAGACACTACAAATGATTCCTCAAGTACTGCCAGGAGTGATCCCTGACAGTCAGGAATAAGTTCTGAGCACTAATGGATGTGACCTAAAACCAAATGCCAAAAATAAAAAAAATTATGCTAAATATTTTCTCTGAACACCTGGCGGAGCAACCTCGTATGGGTTCCTTATGCAATTACATAGGTGGTTCAGGTAATTGTTTGAATTATCTAATATTTATCTAATATATTATTCTACTGTGTTTGGCATATCAAATACTCTCGGTAGCTTGCTGGGCTCTCCGAGAGGGGTGGAGCAATCGAACTCGGGTCGGCCATGTTGGCTGCGTGCAAGGAAAACGCCCTACCACTGTGCTATCGCTCCAGCCCTAACATCAACCTTTTTGAAAGTTAGAAAACTTTCAGAAAGTTTAGTTGAAAACATCCATGTGATCAGGGCTGATGTCAGTATTTCATCATAAGCAAGGTGTAATTTATCAATAATTTGGCATACAAATAGAACGTAAAATTTAATATTGGATTAGTCCACATGAGCTTTTTGAGTTACACTTAAATTATCTGGCATCAAGAAAAAAATAAAAATCTTTTGGGAGTTCCCTACCTTTGAAGAAGGCACTAGGCATAGAATTTACTAGTGTATAGTTAAATATTCACCTCTAGAAAATCCCCTTGAACATATTTTATTATTAAAACTGGGCTGCAACCTGCAAAATAAATGCACCTAGATTTAATTTGTATCTAGGTTCAAATGAACCACTATTTAATACCATACATAAAAATTAAAAAGTATTAGAGTCTTGGATATTAGACCAAAACCACAAAATACATAAAAGAAAATATAGTTAATATACTCCAGGAGTTCAACATTAGAAATGTATTTGGAGACTCAACTCTAATTAAACACGGAAAACAAGAGTAAGAATAAACAAATGGTCTGACGTGAAATGAAAAAGTTTCTGGACATGGAAGAAAGATACCACAAAGACAATAAGAACAGCCTAGCAACTGGGAGAAGATATTTGCACATATAACAGATTATATGCCAGGTTCTACACCAGATGGCAAGTTGATATCCAAAGTCACAAAGAGCTCACACACAGTAAAAATCAAAAACCAGCAAGCAACCAACCAAAAAATGCACAAAAGACCTGAATAGACACTTCTCCAAAGAAGACATACAGATGGCACAGATACATTAAAGAATCTATCCATCTCTTATTGGAATATGCTAATCAAAACCACAATGAAATATTATCCCACACTATGAGAATAGTACTGAACAATTGTTGGTGAGGCTATGAAGGAAAGGAGCCCTGGCACACTCTTGATGGGAATGGAAATTGTGCAACCTCTACGGAAAATTGCATGGATATTGCTTAAAATTATAAAGATGGAAATTTCTTATTAATTAGTAATCACACACTGAATCATTTATCCAATGACATTCGGGAGTGGAATTATAGTACAGCAGGTTGGGAGCTTGCCTTGCATGTGGTGGACCTGGGTTTGCTCCCTAAGTGCCATAGGAAACCACTGAACCTGTCGAGGAATGATCCCGAGCACATAGGTAGGAATAAGCCCAGAATACAACATTTACAAAAGATATTTTTTATCCCTATGCTCATAGCATCAATACTCAAAATAACCAAAATACAAAATCAACCTAAATGCCCATACACAGATGAGTGGATAAAAAAGCTGTGGTGTGTGTGTGTGTGTGTGTGTGTGTGTGTGTGTGTGTGTATGCATCAGTAAATTACTACTCATCAATTTAAAATATTCTCTTGTTCACTTGCACACTTTGGAGTACATACAATGGATAAAGCTTGGGAAGTGAAATAAGAAGCTTAGTGAAAAACTTCTGCAGTTTGTTTTCGCTTATATGTGGAATGCTAATAACTAAAGCAATGAACTGGAAAAATAGCCTACACAAATTCCTAGACTGTGGTAGTTACTAGAGAGAAAGGGAGGTGAGTGGGAGGGATGGATAGATTAGTCTTTGTGGTGGTAATATGCTGATGCAACTTGGTTATGGGTACAGTGAACCCTAAACACAGTGAAATTTTTAGGAAATATCCTTGAATATCTTTAATCATTTTAATCATGATGAATCAGTTACGGTCACTGTCCTCCCATTGTTCATCGATTTGCTGTAGCGAGCCCAGTAACTTCTCCATTGTGACACTTGTTACTGTGTTTGGCATCTTAAATACAACCACGGGTAGCTTGCCAGGCTTTGCCATGCGGGCGAGATACTCTCAGTATCTTGCCAGGCTCTCCGAGAGGGGCGGAGGAATCGAACCTGGGTCGGCTTGGTTGGCCACGTGCAAGGCAAATGCCCTACCCGCTGTGCTATAAATCAGTAAGAAGTTATGAATAAAACTTTTTATCTCATGTTATAGGAATGCAAAGAACCAGAGAACTCAGCATTCCTTAGTTTCGTAATATCCTTAATTAACTATAACTCAAATAAATTCAGTCTTTTTTCTCCTAGATCTTTATTAAAGCACTCTTATTTCTTTACCTTAAATTTCTCCCTTTTTTCCCAATCTTTCCTTCCTTTCTTGTGTTACTTATTCTTTTTCTTATAAAAAGCTTGAAGAGAGATAGCAAAGATAATTTAAAGGACTTACATGTAAAAATAAGTATAATAATATAGTCTTCATAAAAATTATGTTGTAAATTCTAGTAGTGCAGTTCATCTAGGATCTCTTCAATGCTGTCTCGGGAAAAGAAATTATAAAATGAAAGTTGGAGTGTTTTTATACATATTAGTAGTTTTGATTTAAAATATGAATCTTTTTCTAATTAGTACCCTGTTAAAAAAACAAATCAGCATTTCAGTAGCATTTTAAAAATATTTTCAGTTGAAGTTCACATTTGATTACACGTCATGCTGATCTTTATAGGAAGGCATACCTTGGAAGAAGAAAGATAATGGTTTGAGAAAAAAAAGTTAAAGTATATTTTTTTTGTCAAAAAAGTACAAGTTACATTACCTTCTGATACAAAGAATAAATGTGCCTCACATGTATCTGATCTTATCTTACATAACACTCTTAAGATATGTTACAATAGTGTTGACAACATTATGATTAATTCGATTATTATGACTCTTTAATTTATATGGGAGCCTTACTAAATGAACCTAGTAAGAGTTATAAGTATAGCTTTGGGTTGTAAGTATAAGTGGAAGGGATTAGAGGTGGTCTGGATGGAAAACATTTAGAGAAGTGGCTATTAAATTGAGTTTCTGTCTAGGAGATTGAAACTTAAGGTAAAGCCTTGGAGGAACTCATAAATGGAAAAAAGTTCAGTGAGAACAAAGGGACATGTTGAATGTGACCTTTTGAAGTAGTAAAAGGGTTGGTCATTCACTTCAGAGGTTGTAAAATAAGCCATTCAGTGTGTTTATAAAATAGTATAAAAGAAGATCCTTTTCCATTTTATAAGAATGATGATTGGGTGCTCACATGTTTGTGTGACATGGTCCTCCTTCAATCTTATTACACACTTGACACATTCCCATCTGATGTGAAAAAAAAAGGAAGAGTAGAAGTGATAAAATTCTGATGACTAGTTCTGTTGACTGTAGAGACTAAAATAAATAAATTGTTCTCAATCTTTTTCTCAGTCTTAATTCACTAACAATGTAATTAAAGTTAAAAAAAATAGAGAAACCTATCAAAACAGTCTCAACAAAATGTGTCGACTCCTATGAGTACCAAAATTTTCTTCCTGGTCTGTTACACACTGTATATGGTAAAAATTTTCACCTCTAAAATAACGATCCCAGTTAACAGAGTCAAATAAAACATGTATTTGTTAAAATGTTTCCCAAACAAGTATTTTTTATGTGTATTGCACTATATATTAACAAATGGTTATAAGATCTTGACTAGTTTATCCTACAATTGAAAAACATATTCATTGGATATTTTGGCAATATTATTAAATATTTTATCAGACACACATTAATTATACCAGAAATTAGGTATACTTCTGCTAAATTAAATGAATCAAGAACATCCAAAAATCTGATGACATCACAAAATATGAGAAGGCTCTGTTTACTTGGATTGTACATAAATTGAATGAAAATGTGTGCTCACATTGCCCTGAAGAAAATGTGTGTAAGAATATATAGCATTATTTTTAAGCACTAACATATATAAGTAAAAATCTTGAGGCAATGAAATGATACAGTGGCATGCAGCTGACTAGGGTTCAAGTCCCAATAAGGCATGGTCTCCTATGCTTCATCCAGTACAGCACTGAAGGCCCTAAACACTACTGGTTGAGGCTTTGTAATCCCTATTCACTGTGGTGGGTGACCCTGTAGTCCCTAGACCTGGGTAGCATTGCCTTTCTGGGCTCTTGCATTGAATCATTGGCTTGCCTGTTCAGTATCATAGGGAGTGGACCGAGGGTCCCTTGAGCATCACATTGGAGAAACCCCCTAAAATAAGTTCTATCTATTCAATATCAAAGGAATCCACGGATAATGCTCTTAACAAATAGATATATTTCCAAATTATTGTGATAACTAAAAGAAGCCTGATACAAAAAAGAACATATTTTATGTTTATATATATATATTTTTTCTGAAATAAAAAAGATCTACTGTTAGAGAAAACAGTCCAAAATTTGCTTGAGAAATGGATTTCAAGTTGGCATGAGGAAATTTGGGAGATTATGAAAAAATTTTGTATTTTGATTGTGATCCAATACATTAATATGCAGCCAATACCCTGCTTGTTCCCTGTGCCACATGTTGTCCCCAGCACTTCCAGGTAAATCTTTGGAGGCCCCTATCACTGCTGAATGTAGTCGGGGGGTTTCCAAGTACCACAGGAGGGACCTGAATGACACCTGGCTCCTCAAGGCTAGAACAACACACCATCCTTGCATTTTGGTGTCCTAGAATTAAGCCTTTTGCCTGCTTGTCAGAAAGTTGCTAAGAGGAGCCTCTGGGTTTTCTGATAACTGCTTGGTAGTCCCCAAACACAAGACAAACCTCTAATTAGTTTAGTTTGGCACAAAGTCATTTCTATTTATTACAATGTCTATTTCAGTACGGAAATCCAAAATCAAAAAGCAACCCTCCAAAACTGGATTTTCTTCGAAACAAATTGCTTCTATCTAAAACAGTTTCTGTCAGCATGGCACACCTTTTGGGCATACACAAAGTTTTCACTATTGTAAATTCTAAAGCTATCAAGTATGATCTAATGTCTCATATATTTATTTGATATTTAACTTCATTTTGTAGAAGTATTCCCTTATTTTAACTAATTCTTCATCAGTGATTTTAATAAATATCGCTTCTATTTTCATTCTCATAATTTCTAGAGCACTCATATAAAAACAGAGGAAATCTGGTAGTAATATTATAATTCCTAAGATGTATCTTATTTGATAATCATTGCTTTTTCTAATGTATGTGGTTCTGAGTCTCAAACATGGGGCCTCACACATGCAATTCAAGTGCTCTACCATAAAATATCCCTATACCCAAAGCACTTTTTAAAAGAGAAAGTAAAAAGAAATTTATTAATAACATTAATAGCTCCTGTACTTGTGGAAGAAAAGCAACAAACTGGAGTTATTCATGATGTGGTAGCTATAAATAGTTTATGGCATTTTTAAATAGCATAATTAGGGACCCGAGAGGTAGAATGGGTGTTAAGGAGGGTATCTTACATGTGGACAATCCTGGTTTATCTGTAGCACCAGATGTCCTCAAAACATTACATGAGCAGTGCCCTAAGTGTGACAGGTACACTTCCCATCATTTTTTTAAAATATCAATAATAGCATAATTAATGCAGAATACCGTAAAGAAGAATGAGACAGTTAGGAGTAACAATAAAAAAAAAACCGAGAGTAAAAACATTTGAACATTCTCTATTACAATTTTATCCCAGAGTAGGAAATACTTCCCATCCCCCCTACCCCCTACCCCCTAATGATGCTGAAATGATCCAGTTGGGGTAAATGTTCTAGCCTCAGGTATAATCTGGAAACTCTTTTTACTTGTTCTATTAAGGAATGTAGATTTCAGAGGTGTTGAGTGATTTTTTTTCCTTTTACCAAAAAGAATGGTGTGTTTGGCTAAATAAATTTAGGAATATTTATTTATTGGGCTCTTCCCTGGGAAAACATCCAAGAGAGGGGTTTATATGTGAATATTTTCAAAAGTTCCACCAATCTCTTATTCGTAAGAATAGACCAGTCAAGTAAAGTGTGGAGAAGTTCTCTAAATTTTCGTTAAAGCAGCCCAGACGATAGTTTCTCTTGGGTTGTAATGTCTCTAAACGTTATTTGGAAGATTGCAGAAGTTATATCCAGGTATTATCATTGTGTTGATATTTCTCTGATGCTTAAATATCAACTCTTATTGGCAATGCTGGCAATGCATTCAGTATGTTCAGTATGTGATATGCTGCCAGAGGTGCTCAGAGACCACCAGGACCACACCTGCCATTGGTTGCGATGGGGGTGGGAGCTTAGTAAAGGGCTTCCTAGTAGGTTGATTTCTACTAGGACATAAAATCTCTGTCCTAGTTCTTAAGGCAAGTCAAAATGAAAAAATGAAAACATTGTCCAGATAGTCAAAACTTCAGAATCCTTTCCAGTTTACAAATAAAATATACTAATAGAAAAATAGTTAAGAGAACTAGAATCTGTTGTCCACACAAAGGTATACTACTGAAACACTTTATTCCTTTACCCCAATTTTACTAAATAAGCAAAGTAAAATTAAGAAATTTATTTTTTAAAAATTACAAAATATTAAAATTCCAGTAGGAGCACATCAAATTAGGAAAGTGACATAGACGCCAACTAAACTTAACAACAACAACAAAACGGCATCACTAAAGGTTTAAATAGCAACAAACAGTAAATCTTCAGTCAAAGACTTAACAGGGATATAACAATTTCACAAATTTTCCTTTACTGAAGTATTTTGATAATTCCATAAGCCACTTAGTCTTATTATTACTATTATTTATGTAGGAGTACTGCTATTTATTCAGCCACTGATTAGCTGATTGAACTGGGAATAAACTTCACCTTACTTTTTTTTAAATTTTTTTATAATTTATTTATTGAATCACCGTGAGAGCAGTTACAAAGCTTTCTGGTTAAAGTCTTGGCCATACAATGAAACAGCCGTAACTTCATCAGTGCCCATTCTCCACCACCAAAAACCTCAGTATACCCCCATCCTATCCCCTCCCCCTACCTGTGGGGCAGGTGATTTCCACATTACTCTCTCTCTCTACTTTAATTACATTCAATATCTTGATACCAGACCCCCCATTATTATTTGAGATTTTACCGCAACACTCAGATATGCTGACAAGGCAACAGTAGACATTTTGTTTTCTATTCCTGGTTATGAATGACATGATGTCGTGTGGCTGCAGTAGTGGCCATGCAATTTTGAAATTCCGAAATATTAACAATTAAATCTGGAGGGATTTCTGCTAAACCTGCTGGGTCCCGAGATTTGTTTCCGAGTCTCATCCCATGAGGCCCTGCGTATCTCTTCACTGCGGGCCCAAACCTGACTGTCCAGTGGCCTCTAGAGGATGGTGGCCACAGAGACGCCAAGGGGGAACAGGCATAGGGACAGCACCCTTTCCCACCTGGGGTGGCCCGGCGCCTGTAACTTACTGCAGGTACTGGACACATTTCTGCCAAAAGCCGCTGGGTTCCAAGATTCGTTTCTGAGTCTCTGGGATCATGGCCATTAAGCAGTTCGATCAGGAACCAAAGAGGCCTTGCCTCCAATTATATAGCTGAGCCGGAGGTGGTTTGTGGGTGTGTCTCCCACATACCTAACTTTTGGCCGTTTACTTTCTTGGTAAACTTTGCCCCAAGTCTTTGGGGTCTGGCCAAAGGCACAGCAGCAATTTTGGGGTATCTGAAAGTCTGAAGACGCCATCAGACTGCTGATGCACTCGCCTCACAGGTACAGATTGACCTGCTGGCGGCACCATACACCCTACCACTTAGTTTTAAAAATCAATATAAAATAAATAATTGTATGCCTACTAAGGGGACAATCTTGAGGGGGGTTTGAGAAAATGGGGACAATGGTGGAGAGTGTAGGATGACATCGGTTTGTCCTTTCTTCCTTGCCACGAGGAGTTTAGGCTTATTGGGTTACTCCTATCACAGTGCTCCATTCCTCTGTGTTTATTTGTAACTTCTTTTTTTGTGCCTTCTTCCCCAAATGGTCAATTACTTTTATCTCCTAATCAGATTCTGTTAACTTGTAAGTATTGCCTTCCTCTTCTCCTTAAGTCCTTTGCATAGTTAATTCAGAGCAATGTCCTTTTTGTATAGACACAGGAAGACAGTTAATGCTATGCTTTTGTAACTTGGGAGTTAATTAACTCTGAATGATATTCACTCCTGGGCATTTGTTCTCTCAACTTAAGTCTCAGTTGCCCTTACTTCCTAGCACCCCAAAAGCAGGGTCCTGAGGAGGGACTGGATGGAAGTAGGGCAAGCAGTGAGCTA